GGGGGGGGGGGGGGGAAGAGGAGGGGAAATCGTATTTTTACCTAACCCAAGTGCCGTTTATACTATATTTCCTGGGGAGATTTGTTTGTTCCAATTGAAAACAAACAAAAAAATCCAAACAAAAAAACATTTTCTATGGTTTTCCATGAAAATTTCCATGAAATTACTTCTGCCTCTCTCTAGTTATAAATATTGGTTCTGAAGTGTTTGGAGATGTGATCTGTTGACTGTAAGTACAAGAAGATCTGATGTTAAGCAAGAGGAGGTAGAAATGCATTTCTCCTTTGTGCTGCTGATCCAGGTCTTTGAAGGCAGAATATGAAATGCAGAGGCTGAGGATCCATTTCCACCAGGAAAGACCTCAGTTCTGCTGGGAGCAGAATGGTTTCCACATTACATCTCCTCACAGGCTTTGGCACATGCCTGGCTCTAATGATCAGTCTGAGCCGCCAGCAGCAAGATCAAGCTGCAGCTAATTAAACATGTGTTGGTAGTCAGTGTCTCCATTTCTGAAGAGACAGTGTGAGAAGAGCCAGAAGCCTGGAGTAATCTCTGAATACAAAACCCTTTGTATGAGGGGCAGAAGGTGCAGGGGGAGGCAGGGCTCTGATATTCTCTCATAAAATCATTACTTGGCTCCATTCATATGCTTATAATTTCTTCATCCTTCTTTAGTCTGCGACTACATTTCAGATGAGCAATTAAATTAATCAGGTCTTTCCTGCATTGTCCTTTTCTAATCCATCCTCGCTGGCTTGCTGACCTTCCTCTTTGAAGCTATTCACTGCTCGCTGCCTGCCTTCCCCAGCCCCACACAGAAAGGACATTGCCTGTGAAACGCTTTCATTGCTCCCGGGAGCAGGGAAGTGGGAATGGCTCGCTGCAAACTCACGGGCAAGAACAGACATGTCCAGGTTGGTTGATGTTACTGGTAAATACAAGCAGCAGTAAATGTAAGTGGTGTCTCCAAGCCCCTCACAGGTGGGAGCGAGGCTGCCTGCAGCAGAGGATGCAAGCAGGTACCAGATGCTGCCAGAGGCTGGAGCTGTGGCCTCATGCATGGCTTGGACTTCCCAGATGAAGTTTCTCAGCTTGGTCCCAGGTTGGAGTAACCCTTTGGAGAGGATCCACGTGTGTAGTGGTGGGAGCATGCAGCTCTGCACTTCCCACTGAGGCTGATGCTGTGCCAGAGCTCACAACAAGCAGGTACACACTGGTAGCAATCTTTCCCTGCTTCAGAAAACGCAGCACAGCTGAACTGGCAAACAACTGAGACCTAGAATAACAATCCACGAGCTGCTGAAATGGAAGTTTGTTTCCTGGCAGCACAGGAGGTGAGTCTGAGCTTTGCTTGTGGGAGCAGGAGGCAATGGCCTTTCTTCTTACCTGTGCTGGGGCTCAGCTGCTGAAACACTTTGCTGTCTGTCCCTCCTTCACTGTTCTCCTCCCAGGGTATCCCTGAGCACACCATGTCTCCTCAAATCCATGTGTCTCAGGGGGACAGTCCACCCAGAGCAGTGGTACCAGTGATCTAAGGAAACCCCAGAAGGTTCTGCTGACTCTCACTTGAGCTGCTGCTCCGTTCAGGTAGGGCAAACAGAGAGGTGATACCCTTCAGATCCACTTTTTAGAGATATTTCTAAATTCTGCTGACTGAATTGCATGAAGTGGGGTGTCCTCAAGACATTTCAACAGCTCTTGTCAACACCGACAGCTTCATTCTGCTCTGTGTGGAAAAATGCAGTGGGTGTGCCTTGTGCTGGTGCAGAGCTCACCTGGAATAACCCCTGAGAGCTGCCTGCCTGCCCTGGAGAGGCTGTTGCCCAAGATAACCTGAGTGTATCCTCCTCTTCAGCTTTCCTCCACATTGTGCAAGTGGTATGTGAAGCTTTCCAGGTACGACTGGCATTCAGATTTCACTAATGGCTTTTTCCCATCTGATCATTCCCAATGGCTTGGGCCTTTCAAGAACTCAAATGTGTGGCAGCATTTAACTTGGGAGAATCAGCAGCTTTTGACAGCAGGTGTGTCCTGAGTTTGTCTTGGCTAAACAACTGGTGGATCCAGCAGACAAAATTAGCACCCATATAAAACCTGATAACATTGGTGTCCAGAAAAAGAACAATCTCTGGCATCTCAGGGCCACAGACAAAGTTTTCTGATTTTTCCCTCTGACCAGCTACCTAATTTCTCATGATCTGAGCTACCACCAGCAGGCTGGTTTTGCCAGGAATTTCTTTCCCCTGTTTATAAACAGGTTTCAACCTTGTAAAATGGTAAGTAAAATACTCTTTTCTCCCAATCAAAAAAGACAATAAAACAGCTTTAAAAACATGAGTAAAAGGACCTTTCCACCTGCAGGGTGGCAAATGAATGATTAATGTGAGGGATTGCAGAACATCTGTGACACTTCCAGGTGCCGTGGCAAGGGAAGGGCAGGATGGTTTCACTCCTGCCAGCTCACGTCCTGCCGTGCTCCCTGACACCTGCCTCTCTGACAGTTACCCTAAATTGGTTTGTTTTTCCTTATCTTCATAAATGGTCCTGAAAAGTCAAAGTAGCATGGCAGAAGTGTTAATTTACAGCATAAAGCAAATAATTCTGCTGCACCAAAGAGAGCTCCAGGGAGTGAGGGGGGGATAGTAGAAAATTACTTGTTGCTATAGCGCAAGGATGTTGTGTGCAAATTGGCAGGGTCCCACCTGATTGCTTTGTTTAGCCTCAGATTGAAAGGCATTAAGCTATCACCTGAACCGGGGCCATCTCCTACCCTCTTTTGTCAGAGAGGCTAGGAGAGCTGTGCTGAGGGGTTCCTGAGACTGACAGCACTGGGAAAAGCTGAAGCACTGTCACTTCATTTCAGGGAGCAACACCCTGAAGGATGAGGAGAAGGGTTGGAAGGAGCAGGAGGGAGGGAAGGGGGCCTGTGACACTCTGCCACGCTGGCATCAGAGGCCAGGGTCCCTCCAGCACCTGAGCAATGCCCAGTCTGCCCAGTCTGGGAGGGGCAGGTCCCTTTTTGAGAGGGTAAGTTTTATGTATCCACTTGGCTCTGCATTTCATAGCAGGTGCTCCTCTCCACAGAGTGGGACTGGACTCCAAGTTTTTATTGGTGTGGACTCCAACTCCCAAATGCTATTTACAGGGAAATTGAAGACCGCCTTCAAAATTAACAATAGATGGCTATTAATCTTACTCAGTTACCTAGCAACTAACACAATAAAATCCTAAGGTTAAAAGGAGAAGGGTTATTTGGAGATACCTTGGGGAGCACATAATGGCCATTTGCATTCCTGGGTGGGAGGACACAAAAAAAATTCCTGGGATATTTACAAATGACTGTATTGATGAAAGAAAAAAGGTGAAATTACTCAGTACCGTTTTAATCAAAATACCTCAGAACAGAGAAATATAACAAAAAAAGTAGTAGTCAAATGGCTGCGATAAAGACCACTCAGAAAATGCATGGTGATCTACAGAAGGGTTTGTTAAGTTGCTAAGCCCACTTTGTTGCCATTTGTGACATTTGAAGTGTGTGTACTGCAAAGTAACCGTGTAATAAACGTTCAGAGTGAATCTGACCATTACATGCCTGATGGAATATGCCCCAGAAAATCCTACGCAGTGCAAAAAAAATTTCAAACCAAAGTAACATAGCATGATTCATCCCGGCCTGGGTTCCTGTTATGCACGGCACAGATTGAAATTCCATATCCCCACCTCAAACTGGGGTTTATGCACAGCTTTTTCTGCCTGCAGTAATTGCAAATCTTGGAGCTGGAATGAGTGGAAATACTGAGAACTCCTAAAAGACCCTCATGGGGGCACATTTACCCAGGAAGAAGAAGGCTTGGTGGAGGAACGATGCAGCAAATTAGATGCCTGGTCCCCAGCACACTCCTTCAGCAGCTGTGGCACTTAGAGGTATTTTTAAGCCCTGCTTTTGCTGTTTGAAAGGCTTCAGACAATAACTTCCTAATAACAGTCAGACATTTATTACCTTCAGGGTACTAGATGGAGACAGGATTCGTGTTGAGCTGTAATTCACCTGCACAGGCTGCTGGCAGGAGGAACCACGAGGGAACTGACTCGGTATGCAACAGCCAAATTCACATTGACATCACAGAGGGGAACAATGGATGTCCAGCATCAAAATGAGAGCTGCTTTCTGCCTTACTCCAGTGCTTTCTGCTGGTGCTACCCCTGCCCCTGTGCTGATGGCCGGGCCTGGACTGTAAGAGGCACAGGGGTGTCAGAGCTGATGGGGGGAATGCTGAGAGTTTCCTGCATGTGACTGTTTTGGAGGTGATTTCCTGACATGAGGCATGGTGTGCAGGATAGAAGAACCAGGGGCACTTTCCTGGAAAGACTAGCAAATTTTCCTGGCTTCACACACAAAACTGGTTTGTCTGCCAGCTAACTCCCATCCAGAATTGCTGGACCAGAGCTGGAGGCAGACTTTCCATGATCTTTGGTGGCACAAGTTGTCCCCATATTTCCCATCCCCTGGTTGCAGCTACTGCTGTGGACCTGCAGCTCCTCTTCCTGGGTGGTAAGGACTGCCAAAAGGGCTTGGACACCATCACTGCTGCCACTGCACGTGCTGGTGTCCCCCATGGGATGGAGGTCACCAGGAGAAGAGACCTAATGACAGCTCTGCCCTGCATCCCAAGCTGCTCTTCTGCACAGATCTATCCCATGCCAGTCCCTGTTCCACCTACCTTGTGACCAAAAGCTAACACAGGACTGCATTTTACCTTTCCCTGAGCTCTTTGATTTTCATCATAATTATATCTGTAATATTAGGTACAAAAGGGAGCAAGAAGCAAAAAAGCATCCCTGTCATTTCCCCCTTCCTGGCCATCCACAACTTCAAAAGGGAAATGGGTACAGCTCACAGTGCATGAATGGAACAAATTGGGTTTTAAACCGGTTTAGTCATGAGAAGGGCTAGAAGGAGAGTCATCCCTAGGCAGGTTTGATTGAAACAGAAATGGGAGGGGAAGATGACGTATGGAACAATTTAAGTGACAGCAGAAACAATAATTTGTCAGACAAACTGTCTAGCATGTATTATACATGTGTGTCTGTTTCTGAGCCTATTTGACAGCAGTATTTGACACCCCCCACCTCCAAGCTGAGTCTGCCTCCACTCAAGAGGAAGATCTCCATGTCTATAAAAATAATAATGCAAAATCCCCTTTTGAAAGTAGCTCTTGTGGCAGCACAGGTAGGGCTGGAGCTGTGTTGCTGTCCCCTGCCCACCCAGCCATGCCAGGATGGTGCATCATCCCCTTTGCACATGGTGAGAACAAGGGAGTGGGAGTTTATTTCCTGAGAGATCTTTTACTCTTGGCAGCTTTTCTGGGGGAGGAAAGAGAAGAGGAGCAATCAGGCCAATGAGATAATGTATCCCCTCCCTTTCCCAAATGCATCCCAGAGATGATGTTCTGGCCTGGCTCTTTCCTTATGGAGATGGAGCATCTGAGCATCCCTAAAAGTGGATGGAGTCCTCCAGAATAGCCTGTCATTTACCCTGGATGTCTCAGACCAGAGAGAAACTGCTGTTCCCATGAGATATTTAGGCGACCAGGAGTCCCTAAAGATCTGACTTCACTGGGGTCTGTGCTACCTGAGCATTTTTCTGGCTCTGCATGGACCAGATTTCCCCAGATCCCTCTGGAGGTACAGCTGAGCAGAAGCAGTGAGCACCCCTCGCCCCTCTTATCTGCATCTTCTGTACTCCCAGGCTGAGCCCTCATCTTCCCTCTTCTGAACAAGCTGATGCAAGCCTTGATGCTCAGAGCCTCCCCTGCCTTTTGCTTGTGTCACCCCAGTGCCTGCAGTATCTGCTGGAGGATACAAGCATGCAGAGTGACAGGGAAGTTTGGTGGATAGCTTGGAATGGAGGGAAAGGATGAGGCAGCCTTGTTCTAGGTAGCAATTTAGGACCTGCATCTTCATCAGAAGACTGGAGCTGTGATTCAGTACAGCCACACCTCCAAGGAATTTATCCTCCAACTTTGACTTACATTTACTGTTTTAAACTCACAGCATATGTCCTCACCAGCCCTGCTATTGAGGGCACACAGCATCTCTTGCAACAGCAGAGCAATTAAAGAGGATTTGCAGGTCACCTTTAAAGCATTTCCCATAGCACGTTGAATCTTGTTATAAGTCCTGTATCCAATACTGCTTTTATTTCAGCAATTTTAATTGGAGTTTTAAATATTCTGAATCTTATGCAAGACACCCAAAGCGCTGGAGATTTTCAGGCCTTCTCTTGCATGACACCCATTCCCTGAAATCCCATTTTCCTGTACAGATAACAGTAACTCAGCACCCTGATGATGTATTTGACATTGGATACAGGCTGTAGGTAGAGATATTTCAATGAGGTCAAACCCCAGTCTGCAACCAGTTGTCCATTGTGTGATGAAATGTATACTTGGAGAGATCGCCTCTTCCCTTGAGAGTTTATAACATATTCATGCACCACTGTATGAGTTGGAAACTGGGAGAGAAACCAAGAAGGAAAATGATGAGGAAATTTAGCAGAAGGGAGCAATAGAGGGAAGCTTGGAGGGTTTTGGAAAGGTAAAAATAGCAACCACAGAAAAACAGAGCAGGGAGTATCCAATATTTTCCCAGTGCCATGAAGAAAGACTGTGAAAAAGAAAATTTTCTCCATGATAAAATTCTCTATGTGGAGTTTGTTGGTTTTTTTTTTTTTTCCTTAGGTTAGATTTGTTTTATTTGGATTTGGTTATTTTAAGGAAGCACAGTATTTATGGCAGGAAAGAGTGCAAATCTCCCCAAAACTTTTTGCCGGAGACTCTTCAAACGACCACCTCAGCTACACAGCTCCCAGCCTCATTTCAGCCTCCCAGGGAGGAAAATACAAGGGAATTGACAAAAATTAGAACTGATTAAATGAAAAAAAAAAAAAAAAGATATTATCAAAGGGTTGCCATTTTAACCAGCTGTGAGGGCAGCAAGGCAAGGGAACAAAGAGGCAGGGAAGGAGGGGAAGGAGCTGACAGGATCTGCAAACAACCACAACCCTGGGTGAAGCTGTGAAATGCTAATGGCGAAGCTGCTCCAGCCCCACTGGGGAAGAGTTTCCGAGGAGCTCTGTGCTCTGTGAAGCGTTTGCTGCTCCTCCTCTCCCCACGGTTCATTTTGCTCTGCCTTGCGCCAGATGTGCTGCTTGTTTGCAAACCCCAGGGGCACGGGGAGGTTGCTGGCGGTGGGCATTGCTGTTAGTGCACTGTGTGTACGACAAGAGTGGGCTGATGCATTGGCAACACCATGGCTCCCAGTCCCATGGATCCCAGGATCCCAGCTCACAGTCCCATGGATCCCAGCTCACAGCCCCATGGATCCCAGTATCACAGCTCCCAGCCCCACGGATCCCAGGATCCCAGCTCACAGCCCCATGGATCCCAGGATCACAGTCCCACGGATCCCAGGATCACAGCTCACAGTCCCATGGATCCCAGGATCACAGCTCACAGTCCCATGGATCCCAGCTCACAGTCCCACGGATCCCAGGATCACAGCTCACAGCCCCATGGATCCCAGGATCCCAGCTCCCTGCCCCACGGATCCCAGGATCACAGCTCCCTGCCCCATGGATCCCAGGATCCCAGCTCCCTGCCCCATGGATCCCAGGATCACAGCTCCCTGCCCCACGGATCCCAGGATCACAGCTCCCTGCCCCATGGATCCCAGGATCCCAGCCCTGCTGCCCCACAAGTAGCTCTGGGAGGACCGTGAGCTGCAGGGCTGTAACAGGTGCTTTGTGTCCCGGTCCAGCATTTCAGACAGCAAATATATTTCCCGTGACAGTGTTT